AATATATAAATAAACAATAGCGCGCGTGTTGTACGCCGCAAGGACGCACGCACACACTTGCGTCGATTTCCAAAAACACGAAAACCTATGGAACGAACTACAATAACTTGGATCTCATTTGAAAGATAATTTAATTCTCTACAACTTTTGTTTCGGTACTTTTTGTTAAAAGACGCATACTTTCCCTGATATTTGTAAAAATGTAAAAAATAACCGTGATTTTAGAGGTTTTTGGGCGCTAACTTTTTAAGGAAGCATTTTTCGACCCATGTATATAGGAAACTTTTTGTTCGGAATTAAATTATCTTTCAAATGAGATCAAAGTGATTGTAGTTCGCTCCATAGGTTTTGAAATAAACCAGTTTATAACCAATTTCAAATGTACCGAAAAGTGTTTTTTCGGCTATTGACGGTTATTCCAAAACCTATGGAACGAACTATTGGATTGAACGAAAAGTTCGTTCCGTTTTTTACTAAGAGATGAAGACCGAAAAAACGGCACAAACTTTCCGTTCAACTCAATAATTGGCGATTATTAATTCAGCTGATTAATTTCTACGATAAACGACAGAGTAAAAGTATCGTGCGACGATGACTATTGATTTAATTGTAAAGACTGAAAAAGTTCCGTATTATTCTGAGAGAGAGGGAGAGAGAAAGAAAGAAAGAAAGAGAGAGAGAGAGAGAAACGCGATCAAAAAGAATTACAAGAATCGAGTGTTTTAAAAAACAGAAGATAGTGATATGGACACGTTTCAACTATAATTCATTGGAAGTTTAAGGAACGGAATATATCGCATTTATTTCGTAGCGCGTTAAATATTTCATGATGATGTCGAATCGATCATAACACGTCGTACTTTGCTCGTGTTTTGCAATGTACAGGCGCTATTGTTTACGCGCTCTCTCACCTTGTTGTCATTCGTGTGGCGAGGCTCGAGGCGAGCACGACGAGCGAGCCGCTCCCGTGTGCGTAGTAGACGTCATAGTATTACTTTTCGAAACGTTATTTTATTCCTTATAATTTTATTACAATTAACGAGATAGTTAATCCATTTAATTAATTAATCCTTACGGTAAACAACACGTATCGCGGCGACGGCTATTTGACGCAAAGACAAAATAAAAAGACACGATATATCGATTAATAATGCGTATCTATTTACGATTATATTCTAGAATATTGCAGTCCGCGGATATATGTCTTTAATTTTCGTTTATATATTTTTAACTTGTTATAATATGAAATATTATAAAATTATCCTAAGTTACGAGTGTATTACTATTACGATAAAGATAACATATGACATTGTCGTACGTGATTTTCGAGTATCAGGCAGAGGTTTCGTAGTTTTATCTCGTCGTAATAAAATGCGTGTCGCGCTTAATTTCTCTCTCTTCTCGCTCTCTCTCTCATTAGTTTTATTATATACTATATTTTATTAGTTTTTTTTTTTTATATATCGTATACGTCGTTAACGTTGAGAATGCCGTGCAAAATGTCGCGCAAAATAGTCATATTCTATTAATCGTAATTAATCCAGTTTTCGCGAGTGACTGTGTAAATACCATGAGGGAGCAACAACAGCTAAATAAGAGAGAAGGAGGAGGCCCAGGGAGGCATCAGGCGACGGCGGAGCAACCGTGGAGTAAGTAAAAATTTATAATTATTTATTATTAGTTACTTATAAAATTAATTGCTTGTTTATCTCCGCAATAGTGACTCATTTTTAATTATTGTGTAATATAATATAACATAAAATATTTCAAATCTTATATTAAAATATTTACAATATTTATTATCAATTAATATTTTTATATAGATATATACAACATATTTAAATATTCTTATAATTACTTTGAATTCTTGCACATAAAAATTAAATCTTTATTCTAAAGTTTATATCTGGCAAATTTTTTTTCCGGCGAATTATGCAATCTATTTTATTAAACATCTGTTTAAAGAAAAAATAAAAGATTTGATTGCGCGTAATAATTAATTTCTATTATTAATTATTTTGGACACTACTTTCTATATATATTTATGTGTATATATATATACAATATATTGGAATATTTAATTTTACAGATCAACATCGCGTGAACTACAACTCCGCCGTTGCCCATCTTATCGGTGAGTGTTAAATCATTTTTGACTTTATGATCTCTTAAAGATTTCTCATAATAGAGAAAGATCAATTTACTCAGAGTGAAGGCTTGGAGAAAAATCTCTGCTGTAATCCGAAATACTCGCGTATATACGGTTAAAAATTTCTCGCAGCTGTTTTACTTTACGCCAAAAAATGTAAAAGCGTAAAAATTGAAGGAAATTTTTGCAATCATAGATATTGATCTTTTTCCAAACGAGAAATCTCAAGTCGATTTAATAAGAAATGTTTTTGCGTAAGTTGACGGTATCAAGTGTAGCAAGACTAAAGACGGCGATGTCTTGTAGCCGATCAAGTTACTAGTTAAGGCGATGCAAAATACTTTTGTTTTTTGTATGCTTTGGTTTAATAGCGCTACGCTGTTACAACCGTCTAGATAAGTGCAAGTATCTGGTCTTTTGTGAATATCTGGGAATTTAATAGGATTTGATACAACCGATGATACGAAAAGGGACTGTGAATTGATTCACTAAAATAGGCGGTCGCGACATTCTTATTAACACTGCCTCGATCGAGAGAATTAAAAAAGAAAGAAAAAATCAATCTCGTGTCAATGTCAAATGAATCTCGCAAGAAAGGTACAATTTGGTGCGCGTGTATCTGGATGTAGACGAACGTCCCGGTCGACGGTGGCGAGATCAAATAGCGAGGGAGCCAAGCGAGCGAAGAATAGCGGGCTGAAGCGGTGGAGAAAGGTGGACGGGGGACGAATGCGAGGGGGGAGATCTCACGAGAAGGGACCAAGTAGGGGGCATGGAGGGCGACCGGTCGACCGGTCCTCTGGATAGACGGACGGAAAGACAGACAGGACTGGAGACCGCTCATTACGGGCGGCGCATGCGCGTGGAATGCGGCGACTCTGGTCTCCTCGATACAATAAATATAGGATCGGCGGATCGGATCGGCGAACGGGCAATGTTGTGCGAGAGGAGGGAAGGAGTGGAGCTAGCGGGGGAGGGGGGGGGGAGGGCGAATCTCCGCGGTTGGAAGTAAGGGGTAAACCGATGAACGAAACGGGGACCGCGACAACAATGCCCGACAACGTAGTAACGACATCCAGTTAAATCGCGGCTGTCGGCAAAAAAATGAAACGGGGCCCGCGATTCTTTAAGGGTACCGTGAACGTGAACTCGCAACTCGCGCTGCTATCCATCGACGTTGCGTGACGTCGCGAAGCGACGTGAGTGCGAATTCGAGGGAACGTGAAAATCAAAACTTTCGCGAACCCCGACGAAACTTTTTATCCGTGAAATTCCCATCGACGAGATCGTCCACATGTCCATCGAATATAAGCGAACATTATGATAATTCTTCGATCGCGTGTCAATTACTATACAGTCGATACGGGGG